TATATATATATATATATATATATATATATATATATATATATATATATATATATATATATATGTATGTATTATAACTTTCTTGAAAATATAAATTTCCAACTTAACGGAAGAATCGTGAATCTGATCTTTTAATAGAAAAGCGTATGTGAGCGACTATTAGGATACATTGCACACTTGTAAGATTCGACGTTCCGCCGGATGTGATATTTTAAAATCGAATGCGTATTATATATATATATATATATATATATATATATATATATATATATAATATTTTTTTTGCTGATTTTTCGTTACAAGATATAAATGTCGAGATACTGATAGTTTTCCTGATTTGAAGCGATTGCAAATCGCTGATTTGAAGCGATTGCATCCGGGATTTCTGCTTAATTAAATTTTAGAGAAAGAAAGAGAGAGAGGCAAAAAAAATATATACATATTTTTTTCTCTCTTAGCTGATATCAATCGAGCTTTAGTTTAATTTATTTTTAACTTGCGGCTTAATCAACAAAATATTTAAGAAGATCGAGTGGTAGATAGTTGGAGAAAAGGACGGCATGATCAAATTATCGCTTTATTGAAAATAAAATTTCCAACTTAACGGAAAAATCGTGAATCTGATCTTTTAATAGAAAAGCGTTAAAATATCACATTCGGCGGAACGTCGAATCTTACAAGTGTACAATGTATCCTAATAGTCGCTCACATACGCTTTTTTATTAAAAGATCAGATTCACGATTCTTCCGTTAAGTTGGAAATTTTATTTTCAATAAAGCGATAATTTGATCATGTCGTCCTTTTCCCCAATTATCTATCACTCGATCTTCTTAAATATTTTGTTGATTAAGCCGCAAGTTAAAAATAAATTAAACTAAAGCTCGATTGATATCAGTTAAGAGAGAAAAAAAATATGTATATATTTTTTTTTGCCTCTCTCTTTCTTTCTCTAAAATTTAATTAAGCAGAAATCCCGGAATTTTGCAATCGCTTCAAATCAGGAAAACTATCAGTACCTCGACATTTATATCTTGTGACGAAAAATCAGCAAAAAGTATAAAAGATAATAAGATCTGTATACAAGGTAAAAGAGAAACGCGAGAAACTCGCAACACTATCCGGTAAAAACAGCGATATTCTATGCCATAATCTAGAGTACGCGCGAATAAGCACGTACTCGATTTTGGAAGAAAAGTTCGGTTGGGTCAAATTTCTAGTATAATACGAATAAACCCGAAATTCCAACGAGATTTCTGATTAACTTAAACGGAATTCGGGTAATTTCAAGCGGATTTTTCTGCTTCGTTCATATTCCATTCCGGAAATTTGATTGATCCAACCAAACGTTTTCTTCTCTGCGTATGACTGACTGTATCGCGGGTGAATCGATATAACGAGTGTCTCTTAAACGACCGCGACACTTCCCGCCGGTGTGAGTTTTCCCTTTCTTTCGTCTAAAACTTCCGGTAAATTAAAACTCAACGGAACCGGTTTCCTTAAGCCAGAAGTCACGGAGATCTTGTAATTGCTTCATCGCAACTTACTCCTTAAATATACATTTATTCCGAAAAGAGTTGAAACTGATTTCACGGAGTTTAACAGAGTGAGAGGGAGAGAGACAGAAAGAGAGAAAGAGAGAGTGAGTTTAATTAGAAACTGTATACTTGAAAGCACTTTCGGAGTAATTAAAAGTCCTAACGGATTCCGGCCTGACGCCGGAAATGCCAGTTGAATTAGATATATCTCGATCCGGCTTCCGAACTAACCACATAGATAGTCCTCTGCTAGTTGTAAATATCTAATATCTCTGATACAAAATCCAGAGCATACTGACTAAACATACACATGTATATGCCGCGACACGTGCACATAGAAATTATGCGCGAGATAAAGTGAAAGTACTAATTCCCGGATTTAATCCTGAACATTCTTAATATTTTGGTATTTAAATACGAATATTTATATTTTTAACATAGAATGTATGAATACACTCAATATTTGTATATATATTTTATTTTAAGCGTTTAAATATTTATATTTTAAGACTATAAGAATTAAGTAATTAATTATATTTATATTTTAAGACTATAAGACTATATTTTAAAACAATAAGAATGTGTGTCCACACAAAAAAAAATATTTGCTAATATATGGACAACTAAAAATATTAGCTGCAGAAGCAAATTTTCTTGCTTTCATAACAAAGTTATTTAGTTGTGATAACTTTGCTATGAAAGCAAGAAAATTTGCTCCTGCAGCTAATATTTTTAGTTGTCCATATATTAGCAAATCTTTTTTTCCGTGCAGGATTAGATACATGCCCAGGCATTGGTACTTTTACCTTAATCAAAATAAATGCGAACTGTATATGTGTATTATCTCCCTCCCCCTCCGTAAAAAGAATAATTATCTCTTAACGTTCCCTGCTCAACTATTTTTTTCTGTATCTTTGAAAAAAGAAAAAAAACTCGAGACATTTAATGTCCGTAATTTTCCGGCAAAATGCCGCAATAACTTTTAATTTTCCAGAATTTATGATTCCCGAAGATATAAGCCATAAAATAAAAACGAGACTACACGAGTCACGAATACGTTACTTGTACGCATTAATGAGACGCGCGATGAAGCTACTATGCTAAAAAATGACGTAACTTTCAGAAGATTCAGAAGAAATTTGCAGTACGCGTAAAGAAAGTAGGAAACCTTG